GGAAGCCTTCCTAGGGACTCTTCTGGGCTCCAGCACAGAGCTCTCCAGCCAGCAACACCTTGGCCCACCACAGCTCCTCTGCCTGCAGGGATGTCTGGGACTGCTGATATTTCGCAGGACTCAGCAGTGAGAAGTTTTTCCTTGGTGCAGCACTGCACACATGTGGGGAAGAGGGCATGGAGGAATCATGGCTGCCGGGTACCCAGCAGCACTGTGACCAGCGCTGTTGGGCTGCCACAGGACACAAACACACAGCTGAACACCCCGGCAGCCCCAGACAACATGCTGGGCACGTCTCAGGGCTGCACTCACTGCCTTTGGGATTACAGCACAGAAATCTCAAACACCCTTCTTCAGGTTCTGTCTGCTTAACATTTAGCGGCTACTGTATGGCAAGGATGCTGCTGTGGCTTGCGTACAGCTGGCTGGAGGGCTCCTAGAGCAAGACCACGGTTCATCTGGGAGGATGCTTTTGCAGCAAGCCCAGTACCCAAGCCACGAGCACAGGTACAGCAAAGCTGCAGCAACTCGCAGCACTCAACGGCACTCCACGCGGGCCCGGGAAGCTGTGGCACAACCCCCAGTTCAGCATGTCGTTCCAGCCTTGCGCCACAAACTCCCCCACCTCCCACCTCCAAGCGCCTGCGGACCCGAGCACCAGCCTGCAAAGGAAGCAGCAGGGATACGGGAGCCAGCTTTCTCACAACAGCTCCGAGGAACAGCACCACAGGATGCAGGGGCAAGACAGGGCCCTCCCAGCAGAAAAGGGTCATTGCCTGACTGCACCCACGGACATGCCCTCTGCAGCACCCTGGGTGAGAGGCCACAAGTAACACCGGCAGGCAAGGGCCGGCACCAGCAGGGACACCGGGCAGGGAGCAGAAACGGTCCGTCCAGCCAAATGTTTCCATTCCCCATGTCCTCCCTGCCCCCTTCCAAAACAGCACCAAAGCAAGAGACAGCTGCAGCTTATAAGGAATGTGAGGGGCCCTGCCAGGGACTCTGGCGAGGGAAACCAGGCCTTATAAGGCCATGGAGGCAGAATCAAATTTTTATCAATGAGTGCAAGAGCATGGAGACGCCCGGGGAGAGATAACAGCGCTGAGAGCTGGCCAGGGGGGTGGGCTGGGCCAGCGGGGAGCCCCACTGCAGAGGCCAGGGCCAGGACACCTGCCACCCACCTCCCTCCCTCTCCGAATCACCACTACCGCCAGCCAAGAGAAGGAGCCAGCCCTGAGAGGCCACGGCACAAGCTCACTGGAGTCGCAGCAAAAGGGGACCCGTCCTCAGCTTCCCAAGCTACTATTCAAGGAGGGCTGGGGACGATCAGGGCTCCCAGCACAGCCCCACGAGCACAGCCCGTGCCCCCCAGGGTGCCCAGGCGTGCGGCCAAGCACAGGAACGTTACCTTGGTCTCCCCGCTGCTATCTGACTCGGACACCTGGTAGGTGAGGTCCGTCTCCTCAAAGCCCGTGGCGCTCATGCGCTGGTCAGTGGTTGGGTCCGAGCGCGGGGGCGAGTCTGGGGAATTGAGGCACGTCTGGATCAACGCCTTCCCCGTCTCACTGGTGATCATGGGCTGCAGCTTCCGCGTGGCAAACGTGTACACATGGCCCGTCTCACTGGCCACCAGCAGCAGGACTTGAGTGCCAGTCAGCGTGGAAAGCTCGTAGGCCTGCCAGCAGCACAAGGGAAGAGCAGGGGGTCACAGGCAGCACGGACACATACAGTGCAGGACAAGAGTCCCCAGCACGTCCCTGCACTCCCAGCACAGTCCTCCTTTTGGTCACACCAGCTCCAGCTCCCTGTCACCCCAGAGGAGCTGTGGCATCTAAAACCAACTCAAGGTTGGTTCCCTGCAGGTTGGGGTGCCCCATGCTGCGTCCCCATCTCCTTTAGCATGCCCTTAGGGGATGTGCATGCCAAGAGGCCACAAGAAAAGAGCAGTCCCCTCAGGAGAGTAGCCTAAGGAGACAGGGACACTGGGCTGTCCCCATTCTGGAAATCCCACCTGCTTTTCCAGACACGTCTACCTCTGCTGAGCCATGTGAGAGGATGCTACTCAGCCCACGTGTCTCTGCTACCTCCTTCCCCTCACTGACACCCCAGCCGGGCTGGGACCCAGATTCCCCTCTCAGTCTTCACAGTCCAGAGCTGCACCCAAACACCCCTGCAGTGAGGCTACCATCCTCCAGGATTGACCTGTGGGCTAGGAAGAACACTCTTCGTACGCCATCACGGCACACTCGGTGGTCTCGCACAAGCTGCCACGGAGAGGATGGCCTCATTCTGCATCCTGTGCAGCCAGGACGAGCCCAGCAGCACCCCACAACCATTCCCGCCTTCCCAGGGCGCCCGAAGCCCAGCTCAGCCAGGATGCAGCGCTGTCCGGTTGTTCAGAGGATGCTATGAGCACCGGCAGGGATGCAGAGAAGCCAGCAGCATCCAACCGCACGCAAAATCCCCCAAGTTTCGGATCTGCCTTTGCCCAACGGCTCCAGCCGCCAGGAACCACGGAGA